TGACCAATAAAATAAATTGTGACCTACAAAACTTTTGATTTGTGACATCGAAATAATCTGTGATCAATTAATTTGATAATATGTGATCAATAAATAAATTATGACATATAATTATATATATGTGACCATTAAATTTATAATTGTGATATTGTTATATTTAATTAATAAATATTAATTAACTAAGAAACCTGATTTTTGCATTTTGTAAACTTAAAACCTGGTTTTTGAAGTCTCCATATTTAAGGCAGGATTTGTGAATTTTTCACTTAATTAATTGATTGATTGTAAATAATTTCCAATAGATTTTGAGTAAATTTGCAGAGCGTATCCATTATTAGGGCTGGATATAATTTGATCCAATTAGGTTCTCTTCCTACTATTAGGACTGAACATGGTTACCAAACTCCAAAATTTTCGGATATTTAGTAGGTGGAATCGTCGGATCCAAATTTAATTATAGAAACGTTCGGGTTCGATTCAGTTCAATTCGGTCTGGTTCCATTCGATTCCCATTTTTCATATTATAATTAATTTTTTTTAATATTTATAAAATTACATTACTTCAACTAATGATATGTTCAATCACAACTCTTACAAAATAACGTAATCCAATCTTATGTATTTTTTGCGTCTCTTTTTGATGAGTTCTTCATAGATTTAATTGTTAAAATCACCGGAAGAGAAAGATAGCGAGCTCACAATAATTAAGAGAGACGTTGTCGAACTTTAATTCGATTTCTCCAAAACGGTAGAAATTGCATTATGGTAAATGTTACAGATTTGGATAAAACTTAGGTCAATTTGATTAAGTTAACTTTGAACTGAAAATTAAAAATAGGAAAATCATAACATTTTGGTTTGAGTTAAATTAATTAGTAAGCAAATTTATTTAGAAAAAATAAAATAATTTGGCTCATTTAAAATAAATTAATTAAAAAAATTAGAGAAATTGGGTTCTTCGATTCTTGATTTAGAATCGAAAATCGAACCGAACCCATTGGTTCTCGATTCAAACACCCTTTCGAATATTAAACTTAAGAAAAATCGTGATTCGATTCAGTTCAAGAATTTTGTCCAACTCTATCCACTATTAATTGGTAAGGACTCCCCGTGCTTGCAATTTTTTATTTTTGTGTAAAGAGCACTTCGCAATTTGCATATTTAAGACAACTTATAATGATACGAAAATTCGTTACGTTTTCATATATCAAATCAGATGTGTCCCAGTTCATGCTAAACTGAATTTTATTTAAGTTGGTATCAGAGATAGTCGGAATGAAATAGAATTATCAAATCTATTTTAAGTTGTTATATTTTAAATCCGTCAATTTATTTTTTTTCATCTCGAATTATGTGTCGTATAGTTCAAAGTGACTTCTTGAAACAATACCAAGTACGTATTTGGACGATGGCCGCGTAATAGATTTATTAAACCCATTTTCTTGGCAATTATTTTTTAACTTGTCATTGAAATGTGTGTAACAAAGTACGACGTGAGTAATGTATCAAGAATATTTTCTTCCATTCAAAAATTATAATTCGAAATTGATCTGCACATTGGCTCGATAAAAGTGGCCAGCTGCAAAACTTTCTCTACGGTGTGAATGCATGCTTCTCCGACAAGATACATATTATTATCATCTCTGGATATTTGTCTGAAATGCATATAATATTCTTCGAATACAAGAAAAAGGCATGATTGGGGGTGTGATGGGTGGGATGACGTGGCGGTGGGCTGGGGTGGGATGACGTGGGGGTGGCATGTTTGTTGGAGTTAGCATTCAATTTGAAAGATAGTCATAATATTTCTTGATTATCGTTTTTACTCTATATACTTTAGTATTTTTGGATTTAAAAGTAGTAATGTAAAAGATGAATATTTATCTAATTTATTGTATTTGGTATAATTTCCTCTATTTTTCATATAACGAGTCGAACAGTTTCTCGATTTCAAAATTATTGTAAATAACACTTGATTTTTATTTCGAATAAATCTATATATATGGTAAGAGGAATATACCTCACAAGAAGCTCAAAATCAAGTTACTTTATTTAATATTGGAAATAAAAACTCATAAACCAAATTTCTCACTAGCTAAATGTATATTATCAGTTTCGTGAACTAACAAAATTTCCTGCAGAAACACCTCGGTAGAATATCCGTACAATCACCTTCGGTATAATCTTCGCTTTTGCCAACACGCGTACAATGGTTAACATTGAAGTACGGTCCTTTGAAATTTGCACTTGGTGCCTCGCACCATTTAGCAATCACATCCTCTGTATGAACATCGTAAGTTATTAAAATATGTGTGAATATAATAAAAAAAATCAATTATTTAGTTTCTCTATTTCAATTCTCAATTATGTACTACCAGCTTGTCGATGAGATTTTGGGCCCTTATCATAGATATTTCAAAACATATGTAGTAATAATACTTTTTATTAAATAAAAATATTTGTTATAAAAGTAATAGGCTTAAACTTTCAAATTTCTAAATAAATTTACTTTCCTAGAAATTTTTTGATAAAAAAGATATTGTCAGGGCAGACACTAAGTGTATAGTCGAGGCAAAGAAAGAGAAAAATATCAGAGAGACATACAAGATGCTAAAATAAGCACGAAAAAGAGCATAAATTCAAACAAGCATTTAGTATTCATGGTTTTTTTTATCTCTCCTTATCCTTTCACTCCTTGATAAATTCTATCTTATTGCGTGTGAATTTATAGCAATACGAGAATACAATAATGTCATTAATGGCAGGTGATCTGGAGTGAAATGATAAGATCTGTGGCATGCCAAATAATGTGATAGGTGATGTGAATTGAAATGATAAGGATGTTGCAAGAACTCGACTAGAAGGCGACCAAAGTGACAGCTATTCCCTCGAACCATATAGTCCCTCATTGTGAGGCAATAGTCCTTCCTCGATAGGAAAAATAAATAAATGCCATTGCTAAGAAATTCAAAAGCTATAAATAGCTGTAGTTGCACAAAACTCTGAATTAGGTTGAGCGAAAAGAGCTTCTTCATTGCAATGCAGGACTTAAACGAGTGATGAATTCCAAGGACCAAATTCTAGAGATTAAGAATCTATTTCCAAAGACTTCATCTCATCATCTTTTTTATCAGTAACAGGGACCTGAGGCATGTGAAAGGGTTAAATCAGATGTTTTGACTGATTAGTAGGTTGTTTTCACAACCATTAGTGCTGATTAAGCTAGTTTAGAAAAATAAACACAGACGTGCTCAATTGCTATTAATTAACCAAATGACCCTTTTTCTATTAAAGTTTCAAAACCGTTTGGTTGACATGTCCAGGTTACACCAAACCAACAATTTTGAATTAAAATAAATAAATAAATAAATAAATAAATATTTCAATTGGATTTTCCATTTTTGTAATTTTTGTTCAAAAATTCGATTTTATTTTCAAAATAAGCCAGAATTTTTGAATTCTAACCATACCAAATTAACAGAGTCATCTTTAATTGAAAGATGGAGCTCTACACAAATTTTCATTCCAATCATGTTACAGTGATTGAAAATGGCTGACAGAGGGGATGATCAACCCTCAGAATGATGGGGCCCACTTTTTATTTTGGACTTTTTTATTCACATGTAACCCACGTGCATGTGAAAGAATGTCAACCATTTGACCATCCATTTTTGAGTAATGTAGTTTAGGGTCGGTTTAATTGCAAAAATGGGATTTGGGTGGAAAGAAAATGAATTTCAGGGAATTGAATTGCTTAGAAATTATTTTCCTGAGAATTGTAAATTATTGTGTTTGATTGACATAATTTTCCACGTGAAAAATGTTGAAATAAAAGTATTTTTTGGTGTTCGTTTGACTTTGTTTTACATAAAAATTGTCAATTAAAGATATAGAATTTATTGGTATTGGGGATGAAATTTGTTTCCATTGCAAAAAAAAAAAAAAATCATCCATGTTTTGATGTTCGTTTGGCTTTATTTTACATGAAAATTGTCAATTAAATGGAAATATTTTTTTACAATTAGGGATAGAATTTGTTTTCAAAAAAAATAAAATAAAATAAATCGTCAACATTGCCCGGAAAATCAATTCCCACAAAAGCTGGAAATTGTCTACATGGCTGGAAAAAACGAAGAAACATATTCCCTAGAAAATAATGGTATCAAACATGCAAGAAATGGAACTTGGAATTGGAATTCCTAGTTCCATGGAAAACTTTGCTTCATCAAACACTACCTTAATTCTTTTCATTTTCCCTTGTCACGTCAACATACCAATCATTGTATTACACGTAGGGTGTGTTTGATAGAATGGAAATTCCATGAAAAATGGAATTGCAATTCCATCTTTTCATTTTTTTGGTGTTTAATTGACAAAAATTTCCCTAAAATTCATTTTCCACATTTTCGTGCCACAGAGACATTTTTCATGTTTTGGACTGTAGTATTTTTTTTTCATTTATTTATTTATTTGCAATGAAAACAAATTCTAAAAATTATTGTAAAAAAATCACTTTAATTGAAAATTTTCATGTAAAATAAAGTCAAATGAACACCAAAAGATAAGATAATTTTCTTGATTTTTTATTTTTTTGGCAATAAAAACAAATTTCATCCACAATACTAATAAAATTTATCCCTTTAATTGATAATGTTCATGTAAAACAAAACAAAACGAACACTAAAAAACACTTTTATTTCAATATTTTTCGCGTGAAAAATTATAACAATCAAACACAATAATTTACAATTTCCCAAAAAATAATTTCTAGGCAATTTAATTTCCTAAAATTCGTTTTCTTTCTATCCAAATTCCATTTTTGCAATTAAACGGACCCTCAAGGAAAAACATTTTAATCATTGCAATTTTTTTTTTCAACAATCCATATTTTCGACTCCCAAAGAAATCGATACTCAATTGGCAAAGGCAGCTCCAGAACTTTTCAGAATTATCAACTTCTGGCGATGGTCGAGCTTACTCTTAAGAGACGGCCCGAGTGAAAAGAGCCCATTTTTCCTCTTTTTCCACCATGTAAATAATGATTGATTCTAGCCAAATGGTGATTTGAATCAGATTATATTTTTGACATGTTCTCTGCAAATTTCACATTTAAATAAAGAAACAATATACACCACCAATATCAAAGGACTAAAATAACATGTTCCAGAATCCGTATTTTAATCATTTTCATATGAACAAGTCAAACCTCCACCATCAAAAGCATCATCTGAAGCCTATTCTTCAGACGATTCAACAGGGGTATCGTCTTTTGCTCCCCATTCCGTCCACGAGCCATCATATACTGGAATATCTGTCTTCCCTAGTCGATGGAGACCCTGAGAGATGAATCATGGGAGTTTTAATTTTCTGTGACCGTGTGCATGCCTCAGTCTGCGAGTGTGTGGGGGGTCGGGGAAGAGAAAGAGAGGGGATTACCAATGCCAGAATACACGCAGTTACACCAGTGCCGCAAGAAGTTATCACAGGTCTATCCAACGTAATTCCTGCAGTCAACGTGCAATCTTCAGTTAACCAACTGCAACTTACTACACAACAATTTTTCTCCCAAATAGACGGCAAAAATGGACAAACTGCATAAAATTTAGAGAATGATCGGGAAACTGGTCCTACGTCTAAAGCAAAAGTTCCTGCTGCATAAGAACACAGACCAGTATCACGGAGATGTGGGAAAAAAAAAAGGGTTATTGCAGTATTTCTTACCTTCTTGCTCAAGTCTTTTCTTGAGCTCGTCTGCAGGTAAGAGTGTCTGTGAACCATCCAACATCTGCGAGGAAAATTTTAATGTCATAAAACTAGGAAGTTCTTCATTTATTCATTACAGACGAAACAAAACGAATGGAATCCTATAAATTATAGAAATCCTGATTACTAAAATATTAAATACTAAAAAACTAGTAGTACTAATTGAATTCCAGTAGAACTATCCTACATCAACAGCTTGAACATCGTGTAATATTAAGATCATTTCTTTCTGCATACTTTTTTGTAGGCAAAATAGTTTGATTTCAGAACTGACATATACAAACAGCTGAATCTAGTTTTCAAAAGGACAACTTCCTACCAATCATAAGATCACTAATTAAAGATAGTTTTCAACCTGGGAGAATGGAATACATTTGCTCCCTGGTACATGGCCACTTCTTATACCCTTTCGGGGCTCTGGTGCAACCCCATCAAATCTGTTAAAAATAAATTGCGTTATAGAGCAGCATGGAATGCACCTTTTTGGTATGATGAATACACAATTAAACAGCATAAGAACTATCACAACAAAAAAAGGTTATTATAGATCATCTACCTAGCTTTTGAACGAGCATCAACGTGCTGATATGTTTTCTCCTTCACATTTTCCTTGACCTGAAAATAGAGAGAAACTATGCTTTGAAACTGGAAAATGAATTTTTCCAGAGGTATATATATATGACACAGAGAAACCTCCTCAAAGCCTAACTTGCAGAAAACCCTGGTCCACATTTATAGAACATCACCCAAATTCATTAATAATCTCGCTTCCAATTTGGGATCTGAGAACCAAACAAATCCAATTTTAAGCATACCATCAGCTAAACAAAAATCCTCAAAAAAGTAAAACTTAAATCCTTATGCTAAATTTATTAGTTCAAAGTTCAAGAGTGCATTTTTTCTACGTATGTTCTTTTTGTGTTATAATGGCACATAATGATCCAATGAGCTGAAAACACCCTGGAAAATAAGGCCCCACTTTAAGTCTTTTCTGCACAAGATTGAGCCCCTGTTAGGAAATTTTCTGCACTTAGTCTGAGCCCCATGGAACAAACACCTAATAAGGATGGAGAAGATTAATTAAAAGAATTGTTATATTTTTTCATATAATAGCAGTATATGACAGATATGTGTCCATATCTATTTACAACGTGGCGTAAGACACTTAAAAAGGATATGATAGTTCTGTGCAAAATATTGACAAACTATGCCATAACCTTCTCATGATGCACAACCATTATTGATAATGTATAAAAATATATAAGGCAAATAGCATCATCAAATACAACACAAAGGACGATAGACCTGTTCAAGTGTCCAGAGTAAATGTGCCTGAAATCTGGTTTCAAAGGTAACTGGCCCAACCTGCAGATGTTACCATCAGAAGTTCAAAAACAGACCACACATCAACATTGAACATCAATTGCAAAAAGTCATCTTAGAGGCACATTAGATGAGTGAAAGTTAAGTGAATGATGGCTTGAATCAAACTGATGAGAAAAAAAAAATGGATGGAAGAGAGGCCACATATTGATGCTTAACGCATCAGTTGCATTGGCATAACTGTACAGGGGAAAGGATTTTGCAGCTGACATGAAGAAACCATTATCTGAATTTGAGGAATCCATCTAATCAGCAAACAGTAATCCAAAAGAGGAAGCCCCAATACAATGATGGGTCCCAAATTATGAAGGATGTACAAATTGACAACACTGAATGTGCTGCCGCTCTTCTCATTCTCTTCCAAACCTTCTTGCAATTGACCAGATCACTTACCCATCTCAACTCATTCTGATAAAAAATCTTGTTTGCTATCTTCTTAGTAGTTCATGCCCAGTCATTTCCCATCTCCATTTATAAATATAGTACAATAAGTTTCTCAATTTTATGTTTTCAATTTCATCTTCAGTTTTCTTCTTCTGGTCGAATTTGGATTCTAGTACCCATTTAAGGAAGTGGCAAGAGATGGAAGGCAACTTACTCTCAGCACTATGTAAAATAATCAGTGACTAAATATTATTACCTTCATTTTAACTAATACGACTGAAAAATGCACATTTCTGGTAAGCTGCATTATGAGTGTTGTAAATGGTTGAATTATAAAATTACATTCCAAGTAAACCCTTCATTCTTTGGACAATTGAATCTCATTCTGTATGCGATAATTTTGTCACTTACAAACATGAAGTGTTCCAGGAAGCAGAAGAAATAGATGTTTGGCCAACAGTGCCAGAAATCAGATGGCCTTGACAACCTTCACTTTATCTTAACTCATAACACATGTATTCAACAAAAGAAAAGGATAGGAAGGGGGATGCACAAACTAAAAGCATGATGACTAAGACATACCCTTTTACATCGATGATTTCTGTCAGTCACCAAACAACTAATACATTATGAACCAAAGATGGTTAATTAAATTGTACATAGATAACAAAATGACTTACACGTTGTCCTTGGTATACTTTCTCTATTGCCTCACTGGCAGCACTAGCTTTGAAGATAGCATCGCTCGATGCACTTGATTCAACATCAAATCCTGAAGCACGCCATCTTGACAGACCGCCATCTAAAACCCAAATTCTGTCATGACCAAAAACTCGGAACATCCTGTTATATAAAAGCAGTTGAGTTATCAGTAATAACCAGAGAATCCACAAGTTTAATGCTTCTATATTGTTTATTTTGTGTTGAAGATAAAACTCACCACCAAACACGAGCTGCGCTGAAAATTCCCTTTCCATCATACACAACGAGCCCATCCTTATTCTCAATGCTAAGGGCAGAAACTGCAGCAGCGAATGCTTCTTCCGATGGCAACATATGTGGCAACTGGTACACGTCATTCCCGAGGAAAACTATTTATACATTATTTACATGCATATATATATATATATATATATATATATATATATATATATATATATATATATGCTATCAATCTATTGAATATAGATTTCCTAACAACTTGCCACTAACTTAAATCATTATTTCAAAGGTTAATTGCATCTATCTCACAAATGAAAATTGAAGTGGGAAACCATGTCTAGACTTCAAAATGAACATACATTGAACATGTGATAAAAAAAGAAATAACATATTACATTGCTAATTCGATCTGATATTCCATCAACGTCAAAGAAAAGAGCACCAGGAATATGTGCCACCTGTTAAAAAAAAAAAAAAAAAAAGATAACTCCAAAATAAAAATTTGAGGGGAAAAAAATAAACATTAATAGTGTAGAAAACATAAAATGTCATCTCAAGTAACTTTGGATACATCACCAAATGGGTGCCTTTTAACCATTATAAATGCTACAAAGTATAGTTATAAAGGCACATTTTAATTGAGCCACTGTACAAGGAAGAAACATATTAACGGGCAAGCACCTGATATTCTTGAACTGGGTTTCTTTGTTCATCTGGCAGGTACCAGGATGCATCCAATACCTGAAACAGTTGCATATTTAAGTGATATGATAAAGACCTTCGCTTTGAAACTAAAACATTATTACTGAGGAAAAGGACTTCATATGCTAAAAGGTGATAAAAACTTTGGGGGTCCCACTTGACGATAACTAGCAAATTTGGAAACTGAAACTAGAAGGAAACCGAATCTTATGCGAATCAATATAAGAATTTTAGGTCCTTTATGATAAAAAAACGAGTGAGGGGATCAGTAATGTTAAAATCCAATTCTCCTATATTCATTTTACTTTCTTACCAGAACCTAAGTCTTCAAGCTTAAACTTGGCACATAATCACATAAAGAAGGTAAACCTTCTACTTTAATGAATATAACAAAATTTCTATTAGCTTTTTGGAGATAACATAGGAAACTAATCTTTTTATTTGAATGGTCACTTTACAAGAGGAGTATGTAATGAGACTTTGAATACGGCATCTTAAGATTCTTATACCTTAAAATGCATTAAAAGAACATGGCATTTCATCGCAAAATAACTCGGAGTGGTCATTTTCATAAAAGGATAACAAGGTCAAAAGGTACAGTGCATACCTTCAGATTAGGTTCTCGAAGGTTGGCATGGAGCCAATCCACTGATACAACAGGCTCGCTGGTAGGCAGGGACTGCATGGAAAATGAAGCTTGTGATGCGAGTGCTGATGTAGACATGCTACAACAAACAGACCCTGAAGCCTTATGTGACAATTGGGATGGAGCCAACATCAAGTGTAATGATCTCTTCTGAGTGAAAAAAGAAAATAATGTATAATAGGCACGAGAATGGTAATCCCATAAATGATAATAGCACCACACCTTAACAGTCAATCAGCCATCTAGTTTCTTTGACCAACCATAGATCAATGTGTTTGAAATGAGACAGTTTCATTATGTAAATTCTTTCCAGAGTTTATGTTCAGATCACAAGTCTTCATTGGATTGAAACGAAATCCCTTTTCTAATCAAAAGTCACTATTGGTCACAGACAAGTTCAAGAATAAATCTGCTCTGAGTACGGTAATCAATCTTTGTATCAATTAGAAAGTTTAAATTAAGTCCACCTATTTTCAGAAACAGATTGTAGAACTCAAAAGCAGTCTCAATCATTCAAATTTTCTCTCTTACTTCCTGCAAGTGTAAAATGTTGTGTCTCTTCATCACAAATAGTATACAAATATGTACACCATAGGTGGAATATGAACAACCCAATCATGCAGTTACCCAATACAAAAGTAATCAAGACGCATATGTTCTGTAAATTCTAAGAATAGTGTTGGGCTATGATGCTCAATGGTCTTTTTTGTTTTAGGGGCTGTGATGACAAAAATGGGCTAAAGCCCAAATTACTGGTTTTACAACTTACTAGGTTCTTGCCCAATAACTTGACCCGATCCACCCTGGCCCAAAATAGGTTTAAAAGCGTGTTTCTATGGCGTGGCGTTTTTAACGCAGCCAGAAACACGCTTTCTTCAGTTTCTCTTGGGAGCCCCTGACCGTTGGATGAAACTTTGATCCACGGCTGCCTTTTGTGGGTATAAATAAAACTCACCCCTTGCCCTAATCAGTTCGAACGTCATTTTTCTTTTCTTGAGCAGCTGCCTGAGATTTCGAGAGCCTTCCAAAACCCTACTTTTTCTTCGTGAACATCCAATCTTTGATTGGATTCATTTTCTGAGTGAAACTTCTGTGTGAAACCGAATACTAAGAGATTGGTAAGGGTTTGGTGTGTTATTTTACCCTTGTGGTTTCTTTTAAACTGATAGAGGAAAACCTTAGGGTTGGGGGGATCGAGTGGGTCAAACAGACGGGTACAATCCTGTGTTTTTCATGAGTCTGAGCCCTAAACTAAAAGGATCTCCATCTCATGCCTTTTGGTTTTGAGTTTTTCTACGAGCTGCAGAACAAATTATGATCTGGAATATTTTCTTGTAACTCATTCTTGATTGTTTTATATTTTTGTACTTACATCTTTGTGTAACAGTGGTATCAGAGCCTTCGGTTGGCTCGTGTGGGTGAATCGAACTACGTTCTTGCGAGATACTGTAGATCTGTGACTGGAGTAGTACGATCTTGGGTATGGTAGACTGTCGGCTTCGTGAAATCTGTGGTGGTCAAGTGAAACGACCACCCCTGTGGTTTAATTCTCTGACCCCCAACCAAAATTTTTTTTTTTACTGTCTGATCTTTTTTTTTACATGTCCTAATTGACTAATAATGATTTTTTTTCTAAATTGATTTTGCATTTGGAACTGTGTGATTAGTTATAATCTGCCTATACTTGTCTATTAATCAGTATTGAAGTATACTTGAAAATTTTGTCTCTGATTCTTGTTATACTGAAATATTATAACAATGCTTGTGATTATCTTTGTTCTCGGTCTTTTGTATTAATACCTCTTAAATTTTTTCTTTAACAAAAAACCTCTACCCTCCACCCAAGCCTTGACCTGAGATCTTGAGTCTCACGAAATCCTGGTAGGACTGGGTAGTTGATCTTTAAGCTTTGTACTGGATAGTGTGTATGTTAAAGTTATTATTTCCGCACTTACACATATTTTGCTGTCTTGTCTGTAATAGTAAAAATCTCTGCCTCTTATCTGCCTTATTGTGATCAAAACAGTTTTAGTCTAAGTGTTACCTATTTGATCTATAAAATGACCACCACTAGCTTTGAACTTGGAGTCTTTAATGGGAAGGGAGATTTTCCTATATGGCAACAAAAAATAAGAGGGGTTTTAGTACAACAGAAAGTGTCTAAGGCAATAACTAGATAGTTTCCTGAAACAATGACACAAGAACAGAAAACTGAATCAAATGATTTAGCTTATACCTCAATCATCCTACACCTCTCTGACCAAGTGTTAAGAAAAGTAGGAAAATTAGAAAATGCTCAGGCTCTATGGGAGAAACTAGAGGAGCTGTATTTAGTAAAGTCTTTACCTAATAAACTCTTCCTTCTAGAAAGGTTTTTTAGTTTTAAAATTGATCCAACCAAAGACCTAGATGATAATCTTGATACCTTCAATAAATTGGTACAAGATATCACTAATGCAGGGGATAAAATTTCTGAAAAATATAAAGCGGTAATACTTCTTAATGCCATACCAGAGGCATATAGGGATGTCAAATCTGCCATTAAGTATGGCAGAGACACTTTGACTCCTGAAGTTATTATAAACTCTATAAGAAGTAAAGAATTGGAACTTAAAACTGAAAGACAAGGGAAGGAATCTGAGATTTTGTTCATGAGGGGAAGACAACCAAATAGGCAATATAATAACTATCCAAATCAAAATCATTCGGGAAACAGTAACAGAAAGAAATTCAGGAGTAAATCAAGAAATAACAGGAAATGTTATGGTTGTTGTAAACTTGGACACTACGTAAAAGATTGCCATAACAAGAAAATAGAACTTAAAGAAAAGAAAGTTGATGAGGGAAATGTTGTTGAGCCTGCTGAACCCAATACAGTTGATGTATATGTGGTGGCTCAGCAACCTGACCTGGAAGTGGCAAATTATGCTCACAACAGATATGTCCATGAGTGGATATTGGACTCAAGTTGCACTTTTCATATAACACATGAAAGGTCCTGGCTTCAAGATTTTAAAAAGGTAGGAGGTGGTGAAGTGGTTATGGGGAATAACATTGCCTGCAAGGTTGAAGGCTTAGGTAATGTGACCTTAAAATTTGAAAATGGATACAAGTATACCCTAGAGAGAGTGAGGTTTGTACCTGAACTCAAAAGGAATCTAATTTCTATGGGAGAATTAGATGACCTAGGGATGTGTGGTAGGATTGGAGATGGGTTGATGAAAGTGATCAAGGGATCTCTTGTCATCTTTAAGGGTATAAAGAAAAATGGAATCTATGTAGTTAAAGCTGAAACAGTACTTGAAAATAATGCTACTGTTTCTAACACTGAATCTGATTCCACCCTAAAATGACATAAAAGGCTTGCACATGTTGGTGAAAAAGGTCTTACAATCCTACATAAAGGGGGGCATTTGGTGAGGACCAAATATCAAAAATACCCTTCTGTGAAAGCTGTACTTTAGGCAAACATCACAGACTCCATTTTGATTCTGGGAAGCATAAATCTACTCCCCCATTGGAATATGTCCACTCTGATTTGTGGGGTCCAGCCTCCACAACTACCCAAGGGGGAAATAAGTATTTCCTCTCAATAAAAGATGATTTTTCAAGAAAAGTGTAGGTGTTTCTATTAAAACACAAATCTGAAACTTTTGAAAAATTTAAGAGATGGAAAGTCCTTATTGAAAATCAAATGTCAACAAAGATCAAAATTTTAAGAACTGATAATGAACTTGAATTTTGTAATTCAGAATTCGATAAATTTTGTGACCTAAGACACAAAACTGTCTCATACACTCCCCAACAAAATGGGGTGGTTGAGAGAATGAATAGGACCTTGTTGGATAAGGTCAGGTGCATGATGGTGGAGTCTGGAGTTTCCAAGGTGTTGTGGGAGGAGACTATTATGACAGCCACATATATAGTGAATAGAACCCCATCTAGTGCTTTGAAAGGAAAGACACCTGAAGAAAAGGGGTCTGGGAAACTACCAGACTATTCCCACCTTAAAATTTTTGGGTGTACAACTTACTGTCACCAGAATTTGGGGAAATTGGAACCAAGAGCTCAGAAATGTGTGTTCTTAGGTTATCCTGAAGGAATTAAAGGCTATAGGTTATGGGCTAGAAGTCATGGGGACTATAAAATGATAACAAATAGAGATATTACCTTCAATGAGGAAGAGATGCCCTGTTTTGAAAAACAAAGGTCTGCAGACCCTGAAAACCCAAGTGTGACAAGGTTTCAGGTGGAGTTGGAATCTCAAACAGTTTCTGTTCCTAATAATAATATGGGAGAAAATGAACCTATACTACCTCAAACTCAGACTGAATTAGAACATTCAAGTGTGCAGGAACATGAACAAACTGAAATAACTGATCCCAGTCAACAAAATGATCTTAGTGACTATCAATTAACTAGGGATAGGCCTAAAAGGAACATTAGAGAACCTACAAGATATGAAGACTATTTATCCTATTCTGTCATGTCTTATAATGACCTAGCCTATAAGGAACCCAAGACCTATAATGAAGCCATGAGTTGCAACCAGTCTGGTAAGTGGGAAGCTGCCATGAGAGAAGAGATGAACTCTTTAATGAAAAATAAAACTTGGGATCTCGTGCCTAGACCCAAAAATAAATCCATAGTTGACTGTAAATGGATTTACAAGGTGAAAGAAGGCAGTTCAGATAATGAGCCTGTAAGATTTAAAACAAGATTAGTTGCTAAAGGGTTTACACAAAAACAAGGTGTAGATTACAATGAGATATTTTCACCTGTTGTAAAATACACAACTATTAGAGTCCTACTTACATTAGTTGCACATCATAATTGGGAATTAGAACAAATGGATGTAAAAACAGCTTTCTTATACGGTGATTTAGATGAGACAATTTATATGTCACAACCTGAAGGTTTTGTGAATAAATCTAACTCTGATTTTGTGTGCTTACTTAAGAAATCCTTATATGGTTTAAAACAGTCACCTAGACAATGGTATAAAAGGTTTGATAATTTTGTCATGAATGTTGGTTTTGTAAGAAGCTCTTATGATCATTGCCTTTACTTTAAAGAAAATTCTAATTCTTTGATATCTATTTTTCTGGTACTTTATGTTGATGATATGCTGTTAATTGGGCCTGATTTAAAACAGATAAATAATATTAAAGAGACACTTGGGGCTGAGTTTGAAATGAAAAATCTGGGGCATGCTAAAAGAATATTGGGAATGGATATACTTAGAAAAAGAGCACAATCCACTTTGATTTTGACACAATCAGCTTACATAGAAAAGGTCTTATCTAAGTTTTCCATGCATGAATCAAAACCTGTGTCTTTACCTCTAGCTAGTCATTTCAAATTAAGTAAAGAGCAATACCCAGTTGATGAATCTGATATAAGGTATATGGAAAAGGTTCCATATGCAAATGCTGTAGGGTCTATAATGTATACCATGGTCTATACTAGACCTGATGTGGCTCATGCAATCAGCACTTTAAGCAGGTTTATGGCTAATCCTGGTCCCGAACATTGGGAAGCACTTAAGTGGCTACTTAGGTACTTAAAAGGCACATCTAGTTCTGGATTAGTGTTTAAAAAATGTAATGAAGGAATAATGGTTAAAGGCTTTGTGGATGCTGATTTTGCTGGTAATAGGGACAATAGAAAGTCCACTTCTGTCTATATATTTACACTTTGTGGTACCTGTGTGAGTTGGAAGTCTCAATTACAGCATATAGTTGCTTTATCAACCACAGAGGCTAAGTATGTTGCTGCCACAGAAGCTGTAAAAGAAGCTTTGTGGCTTAAGGGACTATTATTTGAAATTAAAATGTTAAGTGAACCTGTTGTTATATATTCTGATAGCCAAAGTGCAATACACCTGTGTAAGAATCCTGTGTTTCATGAAAGAACTAAACACATAGATGTAAAGTTGCATTTTATTAGGGATATTGTCACAAATGAATCTGTTCTTCTTGAAAAAATTCCTACACAGTATAATCCATCAGATATGGAGACAAAGGTATTGCCCCTTTCTAAGTTTAAATCATGTTTAGCACTTTTGAATATTGATACAGGTTAATTTCTCCAATACAGGTACAACTTGGTTTCAATAGGAGAGCTGCAAGTGTACAGAAACCCCATTGGCAGAGGTTGTTGGGCTGTGATGCTCAATGGTCTTTTTTGTTTAGGGGCTGTGATGACAAAAATGGGCTAAAGCCCAAATTACTGGTTTTACAACTTACTAGGCTCTTGCCCAATAACTTGACCCGATCCACCTGGCCCAAAATAGGTTTAAAAGCATGTTTCTATGGCGTGGCGTTTTTAACGCAGCCAGAAACACGCTTTCTTCAGTTTCTCTTGGGAGCCCCTGATCGTTGGATGAAACTTTGATCAACGGCTGCCTTTTGTGGGTATAAATAAAACTCACCCCTTGCCCTAATCAGTTGGAACGTCATTTTTCTTTTTCTTGAGCAGCTGCCTGAGATTTCGAGAGCCTTCCAAAACCCCACTTCTTCTTCGTGAACATCCAATCTCTGATTGGATTCATTTTCTGAGTGAAACTTCTGTCTGACACCGAATACTAAGAGATTGGTAAAGGTTTGGTGTGTGATTTTACCCTTGTGGTTTCCTTTAAACTGATAGAGGAAAACTTTAGGGTTGGGGGGATCGAGTGGGTCAAACAGACGGGTACAATCTTGTGTTTTTCATGAGTCTGAGCTCTAAACTAAAAGGATCTCCATCTCATGCCTTTTGGTTTTGAGTTTTTCTACGAGCTGCAGAACAAATTATGATCTGGAATATTTTCTTGTAACTCATTCTTGATTGTTTTATATTTTTGTACTTACATCTTTGTGTAACAAATAGAATATGTAAAGCAAAGGTCACCTCATGGGCAGCTAATACAAAAATCATTAGTCCATCCAAATTTTTATGGTCCAATTTCTCACCAGAAAAAAAAATCCCACATAGAAAACCCAACTAAAATGGTATTAAAAAATCCAGTAGAATAACAGCAAAATATCTACGAAATCCAGGAAGTATAGAGAGAGGGAGAGGGGAACTTACGGAGAAGATGGAAGTGAAGAATTTGGGTTTGTGAAACTGAGTAGAAGAAGATTGAAGGAAGCGATGGGCAAAGAGAGCTCTGGACAGAAAGGAAGATGCCATTTGTATATATTTGGCACGAATTACCGTAAAAATTTTTACAAGTATGGAAGAACTGGGGACGTTTTTTCTCTTTAGAATTCCTTCTTATGCGCCAAGATTGTCAACAAAAAGAGAATTCCAATTGAATTCGCAATATATCTAACGAGAATTCGAATAGATCGGAATCGGCCAGCCGCCGATGAGCTATGGGCTGGTATTTTACAGGAGGGACTGTCAGTGACTCAGTGGAAATGAAACTTGGGTTCGGCGTTTTTAAGGTTTGTGAAGCGTGAAAAAAAAATACGGGTAAATAGAAAATGGATATTGCTATTTAAATCCACAATTTTTATATATACATCATTAAATAAAAATATATTATTCTAAACTCCTCCGCTAATATTTATTTTCGTAAATTCTTTCAAACTTTTTTATATTCTTTTAGAATTTGTGTTTAACTAAAATTATAACAATCATAAAACATCATCTTTTACTGATATCATAAAATCCTAATCATAAAATACCATCTTCAATGGAAATTCAAAAAATAATAATAAATAAACACATTTTTAGAGTTATAATTTTTTCATTTTTTCATGATATAAAAATGGAATCTTATTTTTTATACTTTTTTTTAAGTATTGATTTGACATATGAAAATATATGAGAAATTTTAAAAATTCAATACTTGTCCAAATATTCTTACATTATAAAAAGACACAAACTGTTATCGATCGAAACACAAACAACCAAAATTATGAGTTTATAAGAATAAAAATTAATTAATATATGATTTGAAGATAAATTTCTTTGGTTACATGATCAATACACTTTTGAGAGAATTCTATAAATTCCAAGAAAAAAAGAAAAAGATTTGCTAACATTTATAATTAAATATTACAACACTAACATTACAATATAGAAAATAAAAGTAAGAATAAGATTAAATGTTAACAGTGATTTTTGAAATTGTATAAGTATTAATAGTGGGATGAATATATAATCTTTGTATGGATCTATAATGTTTAAATGAATGAAATTAATAAGGATAATATTGAAATTTGACGTGGATGAAAATAGTAATTTTTTAAAATTTTAATATGGAAATGTGTGTGTGATACAAATAACGGTACCCATAGAAAATTATTGTGTATCACTAAAAATTTAAAAATTGCTTGATATTTATTATTTTTTTCTTTTTTTAACCAAATACTTAGCCCCTGCTCGATGGTCATTATTTTGAAAAAAAAAATAAGGATATCTTGAATAGTGATTTCTTTTTTAGAATGTATGGTTTAAAAATAGAAAAAAATTTGAACTTACATGCAGAATCTTTTATTATGTAAATATATGATTAAAAATGAGTATGTGAATTAAAGAATTTTGAAATAATAAATATCAAATAAGGACTTATTTTCATTTGATAAATCAAATTAAACCCACACAAATTAAAATCAATTTTTTAGTAAATTTTAATAAAAGTTCACGAAATATGTAATGAAAGGTTGTAAATCCAATAAAATATATTGTTAAAATTAATCGTTAACTTTAATTTAAATTAATAGCTTAATTTTAGTCCCTGCCAAATATAAGCTAAATATTTCAAATTGTCGTGAACATATTTTTCAGATAATTTCGAACTTTAAAAATTTTGAGTTGATTGAATTTTTTTAAGAATTGTTTTTATCATTGAATTTTTAAAAAAATTTGAAATCTCATCAATTACTTCATTACTTGCCGTTTTAAAAATTAATGGACCTGATGACATGATTGACAAAATTTTCATACATGACATGCTTTCTACATTAGTATGTGTCACATAACCCAAGTCACTAATGTTTATTGGGTTTTTTTTTTTTTATAATATTCATCTTTAAAACAACATCGTTGTTGATAACGTTGCAGTCAGTAAATTATGTTGGAGCATTTTTAGTAGTGTTAGAAAATGCAAGAATGAGATATAAATATTTATATTCTACATAAATATATGATCAAGTCTATCTTATGTTTCACTTGTAATTCTTATATAATACTTGTTTGAGCCTCATTTTTAGGTAAATAATGCATTTTGAACAGTAGATTGATGGAAAATGTGTGATTAAAAATTAAGGAAAAATTTTGACTTTACGTATAATATTATTTTATCAAAAAATGTGTAGTTAAAAAGAGAAAATGAATAATTGTGTTTATGCAAAATAATCATAATAATAACATTATATGAGAGTTACATTGTACTTGAAAAATCGAATAATTATATTTGAGAGTTACATAATAACGTCTTTGCCATCGGCTTAAAGTTGTGTGTTAATAAAAATTACCTCTTACAGATAACAATGGTAAATTATTAGCATTGACAAAACATTGACAACAAGCTCTCGTAGCTCAGTTGGTTAGAGCACCCGTTTAGTAAGCGGGAGGTCTTGAGTTCGACTCTCAACGAGAGCATTTTCTTCAAATATTGTTCAACTTTTTGTCCTACTGTACGATATATTCGTTTACTTATTTATTTTTGTGGTGAAACGTTGTCGTTTCTACAGACATACATAAATTTTCAACTGCTTTACAAATTTCATGAAAATTAAAATACTTTTCTATTTTAACTAGCGCGCTGAGTTTGAAATGTTATTATTAAGCACGTAATAAATAATAGTTTTTTCATTAGAAAAATAGAACATTAACTACGGGTTTGGTTGGTTGCTAAAAGTCAAAAGAGAAGCTGTTGATTGGAAAAGTTGGTTGGGTTTTATTTTTAAAGGGTTAGTTTAGGGAAATCTGATGTCCATTCTTGTTGTTCATTTAACTACAAATTAGCACATCAAGAAAAATTAAATTGTCATCAATTTTAAGTTTTTAACCATAATATGAATTTTAATTTTTCACGATGTGTCAATTTATAATTGAAGAATTGTAAATTGAAAAAGAGATTTCAACTCTATTTTAGGTATTAAATTTTCTTAGAAAAAAAAATAAAAATTATAGAAGGAAGTAAAAAAATACTTATAATTAAGCTTTTAGTTTTCCCCTTATTTTTTTGGTCAAAATGGGAATTTTATTTTGCTTGTGATTGATGTAATTTTTATGATTAATGTTATTTGAAATCGCTAACTATCGTAATCGCCTTACGTGATATATACGTAGAAGTTATTTGATCAATTTTTACGCTCCATGTTACTATTTGTCTTGCCAATTTAATATGGACGTTTATCAACTTTTGTAGGTAGTGATTATGTACAGTCATGCACACTCCAGGACTTACCATGCCTCTGTATTAGGATTGGCAAAAAAATCCGTTCAATTCAATAAATGTGGGGTCCCGTCTTAAATGGGACGGAAATTACTAGCCTAACCGAGTAAATGGGACAGGTACAAGGCGAATAGCGGGGCAAGTATTATGTTTTCCGTACCCGCCCTATACACGCTTTGAGGCGACGACAGGTACAAGGTGAGGGTCGTCGCCTCAAAGCGTGTATAGGGCGGGTACGGAAAACATAATACTTGCCCCACTATTCGCCATGTTTAAAGTTAATTTCAAATTTAAGTTTTTATAAAAAAAAATAATAATTTTATCATCATTTTTAAGGAGAATATATAAGTCGTTTTTAACAAATTGGTAAAAAAATAATAATATTTACTAACTAAGGACATAAAAAGATAAAATAAATAAAAAGAAAAAATAAATGGGGTGATAAATGAAATCTACCCCGTCCCACCTTGATTCCGCCCCGAACATGCCGTCTCGCTTTCATCGGATATAGATATGGGGTAAAATAACAAAAATACTTGACGGGACGGGGATGGAAATGGCCGACCTATCCCATACCCACCTCGTTGTCATCCCTACTCAATATTAACAATTTGAAAGCTACTACATGAATCACTATTTTGCGAGACATGTTAACAGATAAAAATATTATGTTATTCACAGTGAGCGACTACCGCATATATTTAATTGATAAAAAAAATTAGCGATTAAACATATGTCACATAAAATGGCTACAGTGGTCACTATGAACAACATTGCTTGGATAAAAATAACATCGACTAATTATTGAAAATATAAATCAATATATAAGAGTTTGAATAACTTCTCTTAACAATATTGACATTTTTAAATGAAATCTAAATTTCTAATGCAAAGTGCCACCTGGCTGGGTTGCAGCCTAAATTGTTTGATGCAATCTTCTAGGCCTAGCATAAATTCGATTTGGGAAAAAAATCATAACTACTATACATTAAGATTAAAAATTCAAAAATATCAAACTTTTTGAAATTTTTAAAAAATCAAGTGTTAAATAAATCAATTTATCATTGCATCATACCCTACGTCGGCCACCTGAACTCACCCTATCACTTAATTCAATTATTCACAAATCCAACCCTTTCCCATACCAAAAATCGTCAAAGCCAGTTGCTGCACTGTCATTGGACACCCAGTACGCTACCCAACCACCGCCACCACCTAAAATCAAATCTCTAAAATTGTCTTGAACCTCACATTGATTATCTTCTTCTTCATAAGACGGCACATATTCCTCAAATTCAAAATCCCTACTCACCTAATTTAAAATCTACACATTCTAATATAGCTACATTAACCACCAATTTCAACATAAATCCTCAAGTAAATACAAATTAAATCTCGATATAGAATCATACTGACTAAACTCGTGTTATCTGTAACTAACTATAATCAAACCTATCTTTAGCGTGACTAATTGTGATTAGATTAGTCTTAACGTGATCAAGTCACTATTAATTGGTCACACACAGTTACAATTAAGATATATCTGATCACAAATAGCCACAACGAATATGGACTTGGTCAAAATTGATCACAATTATTTAGAGATTATAAGATAAAAAATCATGGAGAAAAAATTAGTATAACCATCGTAACATGCATAAATCATGAATTCTAGTTCAATTCTGAAGGCGACTTGAACGTGTCAAACCAAGTTCAAAGGAGAAGAGGAGGAAGACGACGAAGTTGAGGTGCAAGTGGATGTGGTGTTGAACATACGACTAAGATTGATGAAATTCGGGTTGATATTGATCAAATGACCCAGATATAGTCTAGTAAGTTTTGTCACCACAGACTAGAAGGTTGGGCCTCCCTTCCATCAACGAATCTCTCAAGTATTTCTAATTTGGATTTCACCAAATAAATATTAAATCTCACATATCAAAAACTTTCCATTGAAAAACTGTGCATAAAGCTGTTTGTGTGCGTGAGAGTGTGACAGGGGTTTGATGGGTTGGGATTTGTGTAGAGAGAGATAGTGCGGTTTGTATTAAATTGGGGGTATCGAAAGTTGTCCCCCCCTCTCATAATGCACGCCGCCCCACGTGAATATAAAAATTTTCAAATGTGGTCTTCACCTTCTATTGTGAGTAGTAGGTAAATAATTAAATAAAAAAATTATGTACATGTAGCATTGTTTTTTTGAAAAATATAACTAAAAAAAATTAATTAAAATTTGGTTTTTGAAATTGAAATTTAAAAAGGAATTGAGGTAATTTTCTCATACAATTTGACATCGATGACAAGTCCAAATGCTAGGCCAGATGGAGAGGTTTTACTATTTTTGTAATAGAATAAAGGATTTTGCCACTTTGACAGAATAATTGCAACATATGCAGTGGCATAATCTCAGTTGACAACAGATGATTTGATGGAATATTAACTGTGTTTAAAACGATTTATCATCATCATCATCATTATTATTATTTTCTAAAAAATACTTGCTAAAAGCCTAAAATACAGAAAGCCAGATTCCCACCTGGCACCCTACAAAAAATTCGTAAAACAAAAAGGAAAACTAAGGAGACCGACCAAATTGACACAAAGTTAGCAAAACTAACAAGATGATAGCATTTATTACAAGGGTCATCCTAAAAAATTAACAAATAAGAACAGTGTGTTCTGCATCCGATCCTCCCCATTAACCCCATTCACCTATTTTCTTCTTAAGTATCCTGACAACATCTGAGATATCTTCTGGGATTTCCAAAATCCAGTACACGATTAACTACACAAAATAACCCTTGTAAATCCAAGAACCAAGCAAGAAACAGTGAAGAAAAACAGGGTCACAAAATCCCTACTCGACCATTTTTGAACCGCCTTTGATTCGATCCCTAAACTCTTGGCTCTCCTAAGAGCATCAACCTCTTTTAGCAAATCAAACTCCACACCTTTTTTCTTCAACTCTTCCACACACTTAGCCAACAATTTCCCATCCTCTTTCTCTCTTTCCAATAGCTTCTCCAAGTGGGATTCCACGTCGGTTTTGTACCGAATAGCCCAGATTAAACCCAATGAACAAACTAGAGAACAGAGTGATGGGATCCAGGATTTTTTACAGAAGTGGCCTTTTCCATTTGGGGCCCAAGAAGAGGCGCTGAAGAGGAGGATGAGGGCAATGGAGTGGAAGAGGAAGAACAGGCAGTAGAGTTGCGTGATCTCATTCCTGGCCGAGTCGATTTGCGTCTCTTTGAGGGAGATTCTGTTGAGGATTAGCTCTTCTTCTTTCAGCCATTGCTTGAGGAGGAGCTTGTGAGATGGGGTCTCAGCTATTTGGTGGAGTGGGTGCAGAGGCTTCGACTCCATTATTAACGATGTCAAATTCTTGCTGTTGTCTTGGTCTTGATCAGCCATGAATATGGAGATTTAGTGTGAGTGAAGGAGATGATTTAGAGAGAGAGGGGGGGAGAGATTTAGAAGAAATACAGGGAAGAAGGGAGAGTTATTAGTATGTAACGGTCTAATTTGATTTTTGAATTGTGCAACGGTCAAATTTTGAAGGGCATATTGGGGTGCGTCTTTGAATTGGTGCCATTTAGAAGTCGATGCGACATCGTTTCGCGTACTCCATATTTTGAATTAGTGAGAGAGGCGGAAGAAGTAATGATACTTTATTTTAGTTATAATATATAATTGAAGGCAATAATAGTAATTTTGGGCATATTCGGGAGGGATTTTGAAAATTAATTTTTTGACATTTAGAAAAAAAGTGAGGGCCACCTATGAGAGAAGAAGTCAAAAATTACGACTAGAATAGTGAAATAACGATCAAAAAATTAATTTTTTGAGGGTGAAAAATCAATTTCAAATGACGCCTTTATATAAAAATTTGAATATAATTTTAAGAATATTGCTTTAACAAATTGTGTGTAAGCTAATAACCATCCAACTCGAGCGAGCTTATTCAATCGATTTGATCAAGTCTGACGGGTTTGTTCAATTAGTATCCAATTCAATTCGGGTTGGATCTCTTAAGTCACCAATTCGATAAAAGTGTTTTTGTTTTTTTAATTAAGGAGGCGTTTGTTTCTCATTTTTGAAAAAATGAGAATGAAAAATATAGTCGTTATGAACTCCACATAAGATATAGAAATTTAAATTTGATGACTTGATATAATGGATAACGGTTATATTTTTTATTTTAATGAGAAAAGAATGGATAACAAACCGGGGCTAACTATTTAAAATAACACAAACTCAAGGAAAAAGAACGAAGGGCCCGTTTGGGATAACTTCTGCTTATGCTTTTGACAAGTAGAAGAAGAGAAGCAGAAGTCCGAGCTTTTGAGTTAGCGTTTGGTAACTAATTTTAAAAGAGCTTTTTCTTCCGGAAGAGCTTTTACTTGTGTTTGGCATGATCATGCCAAAAGCTATTACGGTATTCAAAATGTCATTTTTACCCTTAATGGTGAGAATGTATTAGTTTAATTATCATATTAAAATTTTATTAGTAAAGCATAGACATAAATTATATAGTCAAATTAAATGGCGAATATACCATAGATTCAATCAGAAAATGTAGAGAGACAGGGACGTATTTAGTAAGAATTGAACCAAGGAATGTAGAGAGACAGGGACATATTTGAATCAAGGAATGTTGGAGACATATTCAAGCAAAATTGTATTTAAATTGAAGTTAGAAGATGGACTGATGAATGAGCAATATATCTACAAAAATTCAGTTTGTCTTTACTGATTTCATGCTAAATCCATTGTTGCAATCATTTAAAAATTATTTTCCCAAGCTCTGCTTTCTCACTTTATATATAAATACACGGCACAAGCATTCATTATTAAACCCACTCAGCAGCACTCGGAAGCAAGAAATTCGAAGAAAATGAAATGTATACGGCAAAACGAAAATGTCAATGATAAAAGAAATTTCTATCGGAACATCAATCGACTGCATGTAGATGAACAGGAAATACCCAATCACAAACCCATCTTCTAAAACCGAAGGCACATTAAAATACCCAGATAAATACACATTAAACCCGTCATTTCTTGAATAAAACCTAGAAAAGAAAAATAAAAAGGCAACGATACGAATCTATTGTAGTTAACCCATGTGTTGTAGATAAATAATGTTATTTTAAAATAAAATGATAAGAAATTGAAGGTAAATTGCAAAATCTTACCTAGAGAGGAGAGGACTTCCTGTAGACTGGAGAATGGGATTGGAGAAGAATGAAGAGAATTGAAAAGGTCGTAATTTCTTAGGACACGGTTGGAATTTCATTTTGTTCTTTACAAATGTAAGGGTAATGTTGGAATTTAAAATTTTCATTAAAGTAGAAACTGGCTTCCCGTCTTTTTTGTGGAAGAGCTTCTTCTAAAAGCTCTTTTAATTAGTAGAAGTCATTTTATAAAATTAGCCAAACAGGTTCAAAAGTACTTTTGGACCACAAAAGCTCCTTTTGGCTTCCGAAAAGCTATCCCAAACGGGCCCGAAACCGAACGAAACCCAGTTTACAATTGCGATCTCTGCCTCTTGTCTCTCACTCTCTATCGTCCGAACCCTAGCCCACTGCCCACATCTGCATCTCTTTCTCGTCTTTCTCCAGTCGCCGGAGGCCCAAATTATTCCCTGGTGAGTGGCGACTGCAGTCAATCTCGCGGTCTCACCTCAATTTTTCTCGCTTGCATTGAAGAATCTGAGCAGAGTCATTGCTACTAGGTTCAAGAAAGAAGCTGTGCTCCACCCATAATTTCGCGGTCTCGCCTCAATCTCCCTCAGGTATTAGTGTTATAATTATTATTAGAGAGCAGGTGTCTGATTATTTTGTATGTGAAGAAGGTTTTGTTGTTTGATGGTCGTTATGGATTCATAAATTGAACGAATGCTGCCGTGCTGGTGTATTGGCATATGATTATTGTTGCTTGGTTTGTCATTGACCTAAGATAGTGATAGTTTCCAATCAAACCCATCTTTTCCCCTCATTTACTATCCATATTCTGTACGGTCTTATGTCTATATTTTTGTTGGGTTTGGTTTAATTTTATTTTTTTTTTAATTTGTATTTTAAAAAATGTTATTTGTTTGGGTTTAGGAGCTTGAGCTGTCTTTCACTTGCGTAGCTTTAGCCTTTACGTTGAGCTGAAAATATAGTGAGAATAATTATAATCAATTGGTGAAGTAATGGCTTTTCCACCCATGTTTAATCTCGAATCGAGTTCTTAGGAGCTTGTGAAGCAAATATTTCTCGAGTTACACCTTGAATTGCAATTCTTGGTCACAGAATCATTTCTTCGCATTTAATTGTGTGAAAGCTGCCAAGATTTTTTATTTTAACAATGATTTAGGCCCAATTCCAAACAAAGCCAAGAGAGAGGGCAAAAAAGCCCAAAATTATTATTATTTGTTTAGTTGGGCGCAAACCCTAACCAAAACCCAAAGGACCAAATTCGTCTAGGGCCGGGTTGGTTTCAGATTCTGGTTGGGTTGGTTTAGGTCCAACATTCCCAAGCTGACTTGGTCGGTTTGGTGTCAAGTTGGGCCTAAGACTGACCCAACTGACCCTGGCACACCCTAATGATAAGTAAATCGAATTTTGAATTTATTTTTATTTTTTTGTTTGGTATATTGACATAACTAAAAAAGAAAAAGATATATGAATTATGACTTATTGTGTTATAGAGTCAAATGTACTAAAAATATCCTTAACTCTAATCATGCGCTTTTGATTTGGGCCTAAGACTGACCCAACTGACCCTGGCACACCCTAATGATAAGTAAATTGAATTTTGAATTTATTTTTATTCTTTTGTTTGGTATATTGACATAACTAAAAAGAAAAAGATGTTATGAATTATGACTTATTGTGTTATAGAGTCTCATGCACTAATAATATCCTTAACTCTAATCATGCGCTTTTGATTTGGGCTAGTTGTTGTTTCCGTCCTTTGATGATTAGCTATGTAACTCTTAAGGATATGGTAAAATGCCTAGTCCAGTTTTTGTTCCATTTGATTTGAGATCTGAAATTTGAATTTTGGCATAATTTCAAATTTACCTTGGATTAGGGTTTACGCCAAAAACTTAATAAATTACGGAGTGATACATACATTAAGTGAATGGCGGAGTCATCAGAGGGGGAGGAGGAAGGGAAGCTGACCGGAGGGGACCAACAGCTGGTAGTGGATGACGATCTTCATGAGATGGCCAAGAAGGCCGCCTGGAGTGTCAGCTCATGCAAGCCCGGAAATGGCATCCTCTCTCTCCGTGATGACAATCTCGACACCTATTGGCAGTACATTAACTTTCTCTCTTATTGTCCCGAAATTGAATGTATTCATGATTATTTGGCTAATTTTATTTGCTTATGTTGAGAAAAAAAAATGTTTGGATAGTCATAATGTTGCTGAAAAAAATTTCTTTGTAAAACTTTTTAGAGTATAGAGTTGAATAGTTCAATGGGTCCGCTAAATATAGCTCGGAAGGATGGTTGATTGATGGATGCTTTTCATGGTTTCAAGGTAATGATTTTTGTTAATGGTGACAGCATTGTATTTGGAAATTGGTAGATCAGACGGTGCACAGCCTGATGTGGTGAATATTCAATTCCAAAAGAAAGTTAAACTGCAGTTGGTTGTTCTTTATGTTGATTTCAAGCTTGATGAGAGCTATACGCCTAGTAAGATTTCAATTCGTGCTGGTGATGGTTTCCACAATTTGAAGGTAACCTTTTCCATTGAACATAATTATATAGATAATTTTTCTGTAGATGTTGCTTTCATAATTGTGTTGACGGATATGGAATTTTTGGATTTCGTTTTGTTCTTGCAATGACGTTTTTAGGAGATAAAAGCAGTGGAGCTTGTGAAGCCAACTGGCTGGGTTTATATATCTTTATCGGGGAGCGATCCAAGGTGGGCAATTGATGCTTTGTAGTTCTTTGATTCAATCTAAGGGTTTGAATGTCCATATCTATTGTATAAATTGGTTTTGTAATTTCATGCTTCTTGCTAGTTGCAGCTTGATTATAACCTTATGTATTCGCATGGTAACTAGATGCAGTAGTTGACATCCTGGTCAAGACTTGCCTATGACAGTTTTAAAATTGCTTGCATACATCCGTACTTTGATTTCAAAATAAATTTTGTTTGAAATATGATATTCCAGTTTTGAGGATGGTTCAATAAGGATTCTGAATTGATAATCTCTTTTTAGCTCTCATATGGATAAAATTGTAATTGCTTGTACGTTTTGGACTCGCCAATTGTTGAAACTTGAAGCCATCCTTGTTCATTCTTGATCTGTATCTTTTGCTTCTACATATCCACATTTTGTTTAGACCCAGCTTTTGTTTCTCCAATTTCATATGCTGCTATGCTCTCAAGGGAAAAATAACTTCAAATCTGTATTTTGATGCTTCAATTGGCAGAAACATACTCGAGAAGAGACTGGTTCGGTACATAGAAATAAAGCACGGTCATATGTCCATGTATTTTTCTGGAATTTTCTGTCCATGTATTGAAATCAGACAAATGTTTTTTATTCTGTCTTGATACTCATCAAGCTAAAGAAATTTTTAGTTGTACGTGGCAGGGAAACATTTGTGAATACTTTCATGTTGCAAATAGCAGTTTTGTCAAATCATCTTAATGGAAGGGATACTCATGTGCGCCAAATCAAAGTTTATGGACCTCGACGGTGCGTAAAGAAATACCATTTTTGGCCTCTTTACTACGAATCCTTTTTTCTTAACTAAGATGACAATATTCTATATGACAGGAATCCTTTTCCACGCCAACCATTTCAGTTCACTTCTACAGAGTTCATTTCTTACTCTACTGTAAGATGAAGTGCACTTTTCTTATCTGAAATGAGGAAATTCAAAACAAGTGGCTTGCGAAATTCAAATTTCGAAGTGTTGGTCCTTCTTCAGAACTGATTACAGATGGAAAAAAAAACACTTGTAGAAATTTCAAAAGGATTGCTAGTCAGTCAGTCACATATGAACGGTAACATGTCTGTTTCAGATCCTATAATTCTTGACCATGGACTTTGAATGTTTCAGTTCTTCCTTTTTGGCTATTTAAAAAGGGACATCTTGCTAGGGGACATGCTAACCCCACAAATTTTAAGTCCATGACAAGAGAATTTGTTGCTTCTTTTTGTACTATTTTCTTGTAACAGACAACGGTTTTTTTATGTTTGTGTTCATTTCGTCGAGCGTGTTTTACTTCTATTAGACTATGAACTAGATTGGAATTCTATGATTTAGTCCATGTTTGGTTCTCATTTTTTTCTCATTAAAATGAAAAATATGACCGTTATTCATCATATCAAGTCGTCAAATTTGAATTTTTATCTTTTGTGTGGAGCTCGTAACGGTTGTATTTTTAATTCTCATTCTCCCAAAAATGAGAAACAAATGGGTCCTTAGTATATTCATTCATTATAATAGTCAGTTTCAGGAGCCACTCTTCACCTTAATTGATGGTGTAAACAGCCAAAGTACATGTCGTAAAACTCCTCAATCTCTAACGTTCTTTTGGACCTATTTGGCTCTCTAATTGAAGTTATTTAGGTGTTAATTTCAGTTTGGTACTTTATCTTTCTTGATATGAGAGTGCTAATGGATTGAAATTGTTAGATGTATCGGATTTGGTTCTCCATTTTTCTAATTTCTAAATGGTGGTGGTTATTTAGAACTGAGTCTCGTGTTCTCGAGTAATCAAACAATTTTTATTTTTTTAATATAAATCAATGAATTTGGAAAAAGGAAAATAATAATAAGGAGCATAGTTTGTTGTCAACATCTAGTTGATATATGTCATATCCGGGAGACCATTATTAATTATCTACACGTCATCTTCCAGAACGTTTGAATACTAAGCTCTTGTTTGGTGAAAGTTAAAATTAAAATTTTAATTTATGTTAAAATCAACAATTAATTTTAATTATACATTTTATGTTATTCACAACTTTCAAAACACATATTTTAGTAACTTTCATCAAAATTTACTAAAAATCTGATTTTAATTTTCATAAAACGAGGGCTAAATATTATAAACTTTCTAATTTTGATGCAAAAACTATTTTGCTCAAGACTCGCGTGCGTATTTATTTACAAGAGTGGGTTTGATAGGGTGGAAATTCCATGAAAAATGGAATTGTAATTTTATCTTTTCATTTTTTTGATGTTTGATTGTCAAAAAATTTCTTGGATTTCATTTTTTACAATTTTATGCCACATAGACATTTCCATGTTTTGGAGAAAAATGAATTCTCACCAATTATTGTGGTATTTTTTTTTCGTTTAATTTTTTTTTTTTTTGACAAATGAAAACAAATTCTAAAAATTATTGTAAAAAAATATTTCTCTTTGATTGAAAAATTTTCATGTAAAACAAAGCTAAACGAACACCAAAAGATAGATGATTTTTTGATTTTTTTGACAATGAAAATAAATTTCATTCCCAATACTAATAAAATCTATCTCTTTAATTGATAATTTTCATGTAAAACAAGTCAAATAAACATTAAAAACACTTTTATTTTAACTTTTTCCACGTGGAAAATTATACCAATCAAATACAATAATTTATAATTCTCAGAAAATAATTTTTAGGCAATTCAATTCCTTGGAATTCGTTTTCTTTCCACAAAAATTTCATCTTTGCAATCAAAGGGATCCTAAATTTTTAAGCTTAGCAAACAAGTTTTTTAAGGTTTTTTTTTTTTTCCAATTAATTTGAAGTTAATTGTACGATTCCTTTTTCGATCATCGTTTCTTATGTCATTGATCTACTAAAACATTTAAAATAATAAGATTTTTAGCAACTAATATAACAATAAGAAAATTAATCTTTTATTTTGTTTCCAATTGAAAATTTTTACTTTAATCTAGAAAATAACATTTTTTTTTAAAGAAAAATGCGAACAAGCAGGCCTAATTGATAAGATCAGTTAACAAATAACTACAATGCCACATCACAATACGTTTTAGTCAAATTATGGAAAATTAAAAAATATTTAAGTTGTCACATAGTCAAAGTGTAGTGACTCTCTAAAAAGGAATGTGGAAGGACAAACATAAACAGATTCTACTAGACTAAGAGAAGTTGAGTCAAACGTGTTGTCCTGACGATTTTGTTAATTAACGAGAAGGTCATGCCAATGCCAAGGCCAAGCCTGCAATCAGCAAGGTTTAAATTATTTACTAATCAATTTTATCTTTCATTGAATTTCAGAAACCTTCCCTTGTAATTATAACAATTTCAAATACACCCCTTCTAGTTATAAAATTTTTAGAAACCTTCCCTATTAGCATAAATTTTACATTTTACCTTTTTCTCTTTGTTAATTATAAAACTATATTCATTTATTTTTGTTTAGCCTCTGTTTGACTCTCATTTTATTGAGTTTACAATTTTATCAATTTGTTTAACTACACATTTCATCATATCTTTAAATTTTAAAAAATCGAAATTTAATCTAAATTAGACAGGGCTTAATATATTTGTGAAAATTAGCCATTACATTTATTTCATATTTTTTGAAATATAAATTATAATAAAAAACCTCGCGGAGAATTTCTGAAATTTTTAAAATTAAAAAAGACTATCTAAGATTATCATAAATCGCGTAGAAGTTTAGTTTATGAAATTTCCCCAAAGCTCTACAAAAACTTCCACAAATGAGCCAATGGAAGACTGAAGACTGCTTCATATTCAAACATGCGGGCTAAGGGCCCCACAAGAAGTCAAATGTCATGACTTGACCAAACGCAGAGGCCCCATCCTACCCACCTGTTCCAACCCTTCTTCACATTACCTTCGTTTATATATTCAGAATGTTCTTAACTTTTATTTTTCAAACTTAACCTAATTTTCTATTAACCTTTTCACACTCAAAAACAAGAAGCAGGTGGGGAAAGATATTGGAACCATGGAATCGAATGATATTAACAGTGTAACTGATGTTAAAGATGAAGAAGATGGTGTTCTTCTTCCAGGGTTTCGATTTTATCCCACCGATGAAGAACTTGTAGAGTTTTATCTTCGAAGAAAGGTCGAGAACAAACCGATTAGTATTGAACTTATCAAGCAGGCTGATATCTACAAGTACGATCCATGGGACCTTCCAAGTATGTCATGATTTCATGCTTTATTTCCGAACTTCTCGTGTTTTCTTAAATTTTTGGCCTTTTTTTTTTAATGAATGAAAACCTAACATTTTATGAGATCTACCGATTTGTAAGCTTTTTATTTATTTATTGTGGACATTCAGAAGGCAGCAACGTAGGGGAGAAGGAGTGGTACTTCTTTTGCAAAAGGGGAAGAAAATACAGAAATAGCATAAGACCCAATAGAGTGACAGGTTCTGGGTTTTGGAAAGCAACTGGAATTGATAAACCAATCTATGGAGAAGGCCGTGATTGCATTGGCTTAAAGAAATCACTGGTTTATTACAGAGGAAGTGCTGGGAAAGGCACCAAAACTGATTGGATGATGCACGAATTTCGTCTTCCGGCTACTCATCACAGCAATACAAAACAACTAATTGATAATCAATGCACTGCTCAAGAAGCTGTAAGAAATTTCTGAAAAATCCAATTATTATTACTATTTTATTTTTTTTGGGTTTTTTTGTTATGTTTGGTTTTTTTGAGATGAGTTTTCCTTACACAGGAAGTTTGGACACTGTGTAGAATATTAAAGAGAAATGTTTCCTACAAAAAGTGCGTACTAAATTGGAGAGAAATGTCTGGTAAGAAGAGTAATCCAGCGGATTCAAGCTCCAAATCATGCAGCATGAAATCTGATCAAAGCTTTATCAGTTTCAGTGATCCTGATTATCAGATCAAGAAACCCTTTTCCAATCATGTGGAGAATATTGCAAATCAACAGTTTATAGGGCACTTCAATCCAGTATATGGTCAAGCACCATCTTCAATATATTCAACATCTGTGTGTTCATCGGACACGAACGAGTTGTCAAGGCATTCAGACTGGGAGGATCTTAGATCGATCGTGGACTCTGCTATTTATCCCTCCTGTTTTTAAAATGATTTGCATATCTATGAGTTTATAAATTGAAATAATTACGTCGATTTTGCTTGGTTAAAAAATCAAATTTTTAGTAGATTTTTATAAGGGTTACGTGGTGTGAGGTTGAAAAGTTGATGAAAGTGTTGGAGTCCAATAAAATACATGATTGAAAATGAGTTTGAGAAAAATAAGTATTAAAAAATTAGGGCCAAACAGATTAATAATCAAACAACAAATTATAAATTTGTTTATTATTATTATTATTATTTTAATATACCATCTTTTGCGACATATTCATTACATGAAAAATTACACAAAATTATGAAATATCATATTGTTCCATGTAACGTAGGGCAACTTATAAAATTACCCTCAAAATTAAAATTAGGGGTGTTTTGAAAAATCATATGAAAAGTTTTTTAAAAGTAAAAAATACTTTGTGAAATTAAAAATGACACAATGTCACTTTTTTTGACACAATATCACTTTTAAAACTTTAGTGTCACTTTTTTATTAAAAAATGACATACAATCTCACTTTTATTAAAAAAAAAATGAAGTTTGTCATTAAAAAAAGTGATAGAAATTTCAAGTAGGTGATCGAAAAAAAAGTGATAAATACTAAAAAAAAAATGACGAATTTAAAAAGGTGGCAAACACTAAAAAAAAAATGACGAATTTTTTCAAAAAATAAGTGATAGAAATGAAGAAGGTGACAAACACGAAAAAAAAACGATGGAAAAATGCCCAATTTCAAGTAAAGGAATGTACAACAAACAATGAATTGCAAATGTATGTTACAAGAAATGGCGACACATCTCTATCTACGACCGTCTGTACTACAAAACTAGCAGCAATCCATATAGTTGCAACTAAGAATATATAAAACAATCCCACAGCCCATATCCACACTTGACTTTTCATTTCTTCAAGTCCAATTTTTGAACTTCAAATCCCCTTCTTATGCTTAAACGCCCAGTACAAGCACTAGCTTAAACATACACCAGCCATTCATCCCACCACAAACAGCTAAGTCAGTATACAAAATGATACCAAATAATGATAGATTTGGCAAAAATAAATAAATAAATAAATAAATAAATAACACAACATTAGCGTAGCATTTTAATCAATACCAACATTGCAAGCACTAGAACTCACTGAAGGATTAATCTCCCCTAATCCGCCAATGACACTCTGGTCTCCACCCATAAACTTCTAAATCAATTTCGCAGAAAAGTTAATGCAATTTCCTTTGCAAAGCCAAGCATCTACATGCGAGAAATTCAACTTAACTTGAAAAGCTAAACGACCCCAAAAATATCTCCACTTATTAGCAGAATCCTATCATCTCTTCCTTCCGCTGCCCAACACGACGACCTTGAAAACATGAGCGTTGGGGGTCTCTTTTCAATCAATCATAGCATGGGCAAATGATGTGGTGTCGGAATTTGAAGATCATCGGAACTTGGACCATAATGTTGAAATTAAATTTTTAATCAGGCTAAGAATCAAGAATCACATATAATTATAAATTGATATATCGAATTCATACATGCAGAAGTCATTGTTGATATGAATAATAGTTGTAATAGTAGCCAGATCTTCCCCTCATTGCTCCCCACAAAGTATTAGCTATCAATGGGGCAAGCTAATGAAAATACAATGTGGAGAGGAGGGGGGACCTAACTTTTATATAGGAATTTATTTAGTCGTCCCATTATCGACTAAAACCTTAATTAGGGTTTACGCACAATTTCGACCCACATACTTGAAAATTACCACACCAAATAAATTACAACCCGTAAGGTGCAAAGGGCCCAATTGATCACTTAATAAATTTGGCCCAAACACAAATATCATTATGAGTCATATATCTAACCTGTAAAATTTTCAATCGACGGTGAAGCTCACATATAGAATTATTAATTATTCCAACATTCTCCGACTTGGGCAAATATTTGATTGCTATAACAAAACTTTTAACACCCGGGTTAGAGTACATAGATGGCCACAAAAGTATAGCTCCAATGATGACACCTTATGTAACATGATTCGATCCAACAAGAACATTAACACCGAACATGGAAGTCATTACACCAATTAAGCGATGTAAGACCATTCTACAGTTACAAATGCCAACATTCTTATTGACATGGATCCCCATCCTCGAACCAATGTGGTAGTATGTGGTATGAACTTAGCACCAAATGTGATCAAAACTGTGCTAATTAATATCGGTCCTCATAATGCTTCAGATCAAAATGAAGCCATATGTCTCTAAAAGAGACTCATCTTATGTCTTTATCTGTCATATCTCGAGATCACAATAATATTATAATAAAAAGACATAAGTCAAATGCATGCTCAAAATAGTTCGTGGATAGGGAAAAAAATATTTTATTATCAGAAGGGGCTGTACCCGAAAACATATGGGTTGCCTACGTACCTCGCAAAGGGATCAAGCCCAAAACGTAGTTCTTTACATAAATAACTCCCACTAACCAAAAATATCAAATGTTTCCACAATACCCTTATTAGCAACATGCGTCTTAAAGACTTTTGGAGCGAGTCCCTTAGTCAAGAGATCTGCAATTATTGCCTCCGTATTGATATGCTTTATTTTCGTCTGCCCTTCTTTGACTCTGTCTCTAACAACCAAATATTTGATATCAATATATTTTGATCCACCAGAACTTTAATTATTCTTTAAAAAGAATACTGCTGCACTATTATCACAGTAGATGGTGATCGATTTTGAGATGGAATCAACAACTTTCAAGCCAGAGATAAAATTTCTTAACCAAACAGCTTGGACTGTAGCCCCATAACACGCTACAAATTCAGCTTGCATAGTAGAAGATGCCACTAGAGTCTATTTAGTACTTTTCCAAGAAATAATACCACCAGCTAATGTGAAAATATAACCTGAGGTTGATTTCAAATCATCTTGACATTCAGCAAAATCAGAATCTGAATATCTTACCACCTCAAGATTATTTATACGCTGGAATGTAAGCATATAACTTTCAGTTTTTTTCAAATATCTCATAACTTTCTTGGTTGCTTTCTAATGCTCTTGTCCTGGATTAGACTGAAATCTGTTAAGGACACTGACTGCATAGGCTATATCCAGTCTAGTGCAAACTTTAGCATACATTAAACTCCCCACAACACTAGCATATGGAATTATCTTCATAGATTCCCTTTCTAGCTCATTCCTTGGGCATTGAGTTTTGTTAAACTTATCTCTTTTTATGATAGGTACATCACTAGGTGCACAGTTCTGTATATTAAACATTTCTAGAAAATTGGGTTAAGCAAATTAGATCGTGCTACTTTGAAATTCGATGGTGTTTTTCGTAGCAGTCTAACGGGTTGGTTGACTTTTGGACATACTTCATTTGCTTTGCTTTTCTTATTCGGACACGTCGTATATAACCCTTCTGAGAAAGTCCCAGTAAGCAACGATTTCTATCACGATGTATGTCAATGTCAATCACATAAGAAGCTTCTCCAAGATCTTTCACCTCAAATTTAGCAGACAATATTTTTTTATCTCATGAAACAACCCCAAGTTACTGCTAGCAAGCAAAATGTCATCAACATATAGGACAAGAAAACTAAAATTTCTCCAAGTGGTTTTGAGATAACTGCATTGATCAACAGTATTTTCAACAAAATCAAGAGACGTCACAACCTCGTCAAACTTTAAATACCACTGTCGAGATGCTTGCTTGATGCCATATAAGGATTTATTTAACTTACATACCAAGTTTTCCTTTCCTTTCACAACGACACCTTCAGGTTGTCTCGTGTAAACCTTTTCAGAAAGATCTTTACTCAGAAAAGTTGTCTTAACATCCATTTGACGAAGCTCCAAAATTATAGTGTGTCACAAGAGTTATGATAATTAGAAAAGAATCTTTCGACGAAACAGGGGAGAAGGTTTCAACATAATCAATGCCCTCTCGTTGAGTGAAACCTTTTGCAACCAGTCTTGCTTTCTTTCTTTCAAAATTTCCTTTTGAATCTAATTACTTTTGAAAATTCACTTGTTATCTATAACTTTAGCATTTGGATAAAGTTCAACAAGATCCTAAACTTTATTCTTTTCCATAGAATCATTTCATCTTCTACGGCAACTATCCATTTATTTACCTCAGGACTTGTCAATACTTGATTATAAGTTACATGATCAACAATATGCACAATATTAAAATCACTCTCCAATAAATATATAATATAATCACCTGGCAATGCGGATCTCCTTTCTCTTCGTGATCTCCTAACTTGTGGCTTAGAAACTGACTCAATCGTTGTTAGGGGGATTAGAAGTTCCCATTGGTTTCTTGGTTCTTTATTAACAACTTCAACTGGTTAAGAACTAACTCTTTCATGTATAAGAGGAATTGGAACAACAACTTGACTTAGTTCAACAAAAAATTCTAACAATGTGCTACTCCCACTATCTCCAATATCATTCTCCAGAAATTTAGCAGTAATGGACTCCACGATTTGGACAGTAAAACTTATATCCTTTTGATCTGTCCGGATACCCAATAAAGTAGCCAGGATATGACTTAGGGTCTATTTCTTTTCAAATGGATTATAAATCCTAACCTCAGCTGGACATCCCCAAACCTTAAAGTAAGCCAAACTTGGCTTACTTCCTATCTATAATTTAAAAGGTGTCTTTGCAACAGATTTACTTGGAACTTTGTTCAAAATATACATAGCAATTTTCAAAGCTTCACCCCACAAATATTCAGGAAAATTTGTTTTACTCATCATATTTCTAACCATATCTTTTAGAGTTCAATTACGTCTTTTAGAAAAACTATTCTGCTCAGGTATCCCTGGCATGGTGTATTGGGGCACTATTCCACAATCTTGTAAAAACTTTGAAAAATCACCCATAGTTTGACCAGACTCGTCGTATTTCCCATAGTACTCACCACCACGGTCAGACCTTAAAACTTTGATACTTTTTCCACATTGTTTCTCTACTTCCAGTTTGGTAACTTTGAATTTCTCAAGTGCATGCGATTTATTGTTAA